TCTCTTTAGCTCTAACAAAATACCTTTTTGGCTTGTGTCAATTGAGTATTCTGAGTTTTCAGGGATTCCTTAAAAAGATGTGCCACTGGACTTGGGTAACATTGGCCCAAAGTCTTGACTAACCTGAAATTTGTGGGTAGCAGATCTGTTGTAGTCTATTCTGTAGGGGGTCAACACAGGCAAAAACTGTTGTAGGTACCATGCTTAGCAAGGTAGATGCCTATATTAGGGACAAAAAAATGTTATACAACCTAAAAATTTTATAATTCAATTAGTCAACAAATACTTGTTGAACACCTCATATGTACCAGGTACTAGTGAATTAATGTATTCTAATCAGATATCACTAAATATACAAGATCCTAGATAACAAAGTTGTCAAATATAATAAATATCTTAATAGTCCAAGTTCCCAAATTAATTTTATTTATAATAAATAAGCATACCAAACAAAACAAAACAAAAACAAGCTCTCTTGGGCTAAGCTATGCATGGCCCAAGATTTATAGATGTCTTAGTTCAGTTTCTGTTACTCTAACAGAATACTTGAGATTGGTATTTTTATTTTTAAAAAGAGGTTTACTTCTCTTCTTGGTTTAGGAGACTAAGAATTCTAAGATAGGGTGGCTAAATCTGATGAGGGGTCTTATGGATGCTTTAACTCATCATGGAAAGTATAAGGACAAGTGAACAAAAAAGCGAAAACATGAGGTGTAACTTTGTAAGAGCTCACTTTTGTGGTATTTAATCCAGTCCTGTTAAAGGGAGAATTCACAAGAGTAAGGCCTTGTGTTAGCTTCTGTTACTGTAACAATACACGAGATAAATCCACATAAAAAGAACAGAGTTATTTGAGCTCACAGTTTTGGAGGATTTAGTCCATGACCAATTGGCCTTAATGCTTTGGCCTATAGAGGCACATGAGGTCAGTAGTGCATAGAGGAGCAAACCATTCACCTCATGGCTAGACAGAAGGAGAGAGGAACAGATGAGCATTCCAGGTGACACACCACTCACTAGGCTGCCACCTCCCAGTGATACCACTCTGGGTAATAAGCCTTGAACACAGGAGTCTTTGGGGAACATCTTTGATCCAAACTATAGCAACATTAATCATTCATGAGAGTTTGGCCTCCATTACCCACACACCTCCACTAAGCCCCCACTTTGTACACTGTCATATAGCAGACCAAGCCACAACATGAGTTTTGGTGAGAACAAATAATAGCAGGATGCAAACTGTGAATCACTCTAAAATATGCATGTTTATGAATTATGTTAATTATCTAAATTGTTAATATGTATGTTGATACCAGAGGAAATATTTTGGAGAGATACTTCCTGTTTATGGTGTACCTGACAGAGACCTCTTCTGTGGGGATAGAAATAGATTTCACTCCAAATGTCAAATTTGATTTAATAGAGTGGAACTGCTTTGTCTGCTCTATTTTGAAGAATTCTGGGGCTGTTTAGGCTCACAGTGTAAAGTGATATGATTGAAATGTTCAAAAGGGATCAGGATATGGTTATGGAATCACTTGATCACTAATTTGTCCTCCTGTTGTATGTGGGAATTGAAGTTAACCTTTTCTCCCCTCACTTTAAGAAATTTATTTTTTCTTTTATTTATTTATTCAACAAGTATTTGCTGAATTCTAGTATGTACCTGGCACCATATTATGTACTAGAGATATAAAGATAAAAGACATTGTCCTTGCACTTAAAGAACTTACTTACACTCAAGTAAAGCATAATGACAGTTACTGCATAAAAAGACCTTGTTTCTATGTATGAACAGTATTGTGAGGTGCTATATTTTCTTCATATTTTTTTCTTTTCAAATGCCAGTGAGTAAAATATATTCAGATAAATATCAAAAGTATGCTAAAAACTGTCATTCTCAACTCATTTGGAGTTTAAGATGAAAAATCTTACAAAATTCACATATCTCTGGTGTCATTCAATAGAGAACATTATTATCTAAAGATATGGACTATATGGAACTGTTTTATTTTGGCACATAATTTAAGCCCCCATGACAAATATATATGTATGTATGTAGTATGTGTGTGTGTGTGTGTGTGAATAATCAGTGTGTGGGGACAGCTATTTATAATTAAGATAGAAAATATTACAGAAAAAGTAATATTAAGAGTGTATCTCCACATATATAATGATCTTTATTTTCTTATTTGTCTGTTTTTCTCTCCTCCCCCCATTTCATCCTTTCCCTGGGACATCCAGAGTTTTCTTGTTTTTCATTGAGGATTATAATTTTCTTCTCTTTATATATTGTGATGGGACTATGTCTTAGCTCAGTGAACGTGAAAGAGAGAAAGTCCTGAATTCTCTGTTTGTGACTCTTTAATTCTTATTTTCAACTCACTGGATACTTGGTAGCTTTTGCTTATTTGACTTGTAAACTTTTTCTTCTCTTTGATTTCTACTTGGGATTGAAGTTTGGCTATTGTTTTGCTTCTATCCTTCAGAGGCTAAACATAGACATTATCCAAAGGCAGATGAATATATGTGAAGACTTACCTTTAGATTTCTCTAGAAGATTGGGGAATTGACTAGTATCTTGGCACCAGACAAATCTGTATAACCTACTTATGGGTCATATTTAGCTCTTCCTGACTCATTGCACTCTAGAGCCCTTTCCTCTTCAATTTATGCTTAAGGTAATATACTAGGATGAGTAAAGATTGCTGCATGCCACCTTGTTTATCTAATCTGCTCTTCATCGTCATGAACCTGAGTAAGACTAACATCAACTATGCTTCTAGCATTGGAAAAATTGGACACGCCTTTTTGCCAATAGTCCAATTTGAATTCCTGAAGCAACTAACTTCCATATTCTATTCATGGATCATCATCCTTCCTCATTTTCCTCCAATGTTTTATCATAATGACATTGCTAGGCACAATTGCAGCCTCAAGAGATATGGCAGAAGTGTCATTCTCACTGGACTACAAACTATTCAAAAGCAGATATACGGTCTTGCTATTTCTAACTACACTGTTAGTACAGAGCAGGTACTCAAGAACTTTTGGTTAGATGAGTGAAAACAATGCGTATCTATTTTCACTTAAAATAGTAAATAAATATAACAAGTGCCATTTGTACAAACTCACAGTGAAAAATCAATTTAGTCACTTTTTCACAAACCTTGAGAGTTGCTTTCAAATTTGAGTTTTCATGTGCAGTGATTAGATTTTTTTTCCTATCCAATTTCTACCTTTTGTTTTCTCATCACTCCTGCTACTCATCATTATGGCATATTACAGAGGCTGATATGGAAAGAGATAGCCATTTCTATGACACCTTGGATAGTTTATTTTCAAATGGGAAGTCTGAAACCTATATGTCTCCAGTAAGGCATGTCATCCTAATGAGTGTGAACCAGCATTGCTAGTTTTAAAAATGTATATATGGTGGAGGACATTCCTGAACACTATGAATAATATCTATTTTTTGTGATAAATCTGATACAACTGTAGGCTTATGGTTGTATTGATTACAAATGGACTCTGGACCCACACAGTCTAAAGTTTAAATTCCGTTATTTGCATTATGACCTCAAGTAAAGATTAGTGCTTAAGGTTCTTGATGTCCCTGGGAATCTCACTTCCCATTTTTTAGAAGATATAAACTGATTCTTTTAACTACTGCAAATGTTATTGTGAATATTAAATGAGCTAATGTAAATGAAGCATTGCATATAGTGCATAGTAACAGTTCAAAACATTTTTTCTAATTATCATTATTATTATCTTTCCCAAGTGAACACAGTTTACAAATATTTGCTTTCCCTGGAATCTTTAGTCCAACTCTGATTCTCAACGATTTGCTATTGTTAGATTGATAGGGTGCATCAAAACTGAGACCAGGTGTTCTGGTTTCTGCCCAGCAGGTCTATAATGGGAATTATTTTCAATAGCTTTAATGGGTTGGCAAATTTGATAAAGCACCAGAGAATGGGCTGTTCATTGAATGTATTAATATTTTTGTTTAGCACACGTGAAGCTGAAGGCCATTATTACTCATTACAGAGCATGCCAAATGCCCTGTCCCCCAAATTACTATAATTTGTACCTTCAGAATTAAATAAGCTACATGCATAGGTATCATGTGGGAAATTCTGTTAAAGCTGAAGGCCACACACAATGTGATTAAAATGGGGCTTTTGAATTTGAATTACTTCTTTCCCCCTCATCTACACCGACTTTCTACATATAATTAAAGGTATTTAATGCATATTAAGTTTTTCTTGACTAATGTATCTTTTGAAGTTTAATCAGTAACAGAAAGTGAAAGTAAATTAAATACCTCATTACCTGGTGATAAATCTTTTGTGTGTTGTGTGTGATGAATTTTTTGATTCTATACAAATCACCGACATGGTAGGTGAGGTTTGATGAAAATGGAAGAGTTACCAACCTAATTTCTCCACCTCCAAACCTGTACCTTCTTGCTTTTGTGTGTGTGTGTGGGGGTAACTTTTTAAGATTAAATGCTTATTACCAATGGCTTAAAGCATTAAGTACCCAATTAGCATCTGCAGGTTCCATATCAGCAGATTCAACCAAAAATGAATAGAAAATGTTACATTGCCACTCACCTATACTATATAGTTATGTCTACAATGGTTGGATTTGTCATTAATCCCTTAAAAATATAGAACTGTTTATGTTGAGTTACATTATGTTAGATACTATAAGCAATAGAGATATTTAAAGTGTAGGGAAAGATGTGTGTAGGTTAAATGCAAATGCTATGGAATTTAAAGAAACAGAGCATCCATGGATTTTGGTATCCACAAGGGTCCTGGAGCCAATCCCCTGTGAATAGTAAAAGACAACTATTTATTAGCTCAGACCTTATGTTATTTTGTTTGTGAAAGTCTGAGGACAAGGATATTTTAGAACAGGGAAAAATGGGTATAAAGCTCCAAGGTCAATGACTAGTAAAGATGTTTGCCCTTTGTGCTTTTTCGTAGAAGAGTCATCAGAAACTCCTCCCAATGAGGAAGAGGACCTTGGTAAGTCATAGTCTGAATGTTGAGTTAGTCTAAGAATCTTTCTTAATAATCTATCCATCAAGAAATACATAATCCTTTCAAATTCTAGGAACACCTAAATATTCAGGAAAGGATAATTGCAGACTATAGGCTTGTGGGATCCTTCTTTCTTTCCTGGAAGGGATTACCTTTCTTTGGAGCTGTAAAAAATTCCCAAGGAAGAACATCACACACCTTTGAGGTTTTGTTATCCAAGTTCACCCCATACATTTTATTTTTCTCATCTTCTCATATCAGTTTATGATGCGGATACGCAGGAATCTTGTTCACATCTCTTTGTGGTAAAGCTCCCACCATCAGGCTTTCATGACACCAAGTATTTTACTCAGTCTTCTTCGCTGTGTGACAGCTGGCTCTCTCCTTAGTTGGTCCCATAAGAGTTGACTCCTGGGCATGGCAGCTCCTGAAAGGTAGAAATGTAAACTCTCAAGTCCTGTTGCAGACTCACTGAATGAGAGCCTGCCTTTCCACAAGGTTCTCGGATGGCTCATGTGCAAATGTGTTTGTGCAGCACTGATTTCAAGATTTGCTCATCCTTTGTGCATCCTTAATATCCCTGAATATGAATGTGAGTACTTTATGCTGTTATTTCCAACATTCCTGGATCGCAAATACTCAACTAAGAAGGTGATTTATATATGTGATGAGAATGTTAAAAATCTATGCTATTAGCAGTTTTGAAATAATACAGTACGTTAACTACGGTCACGGTGATTGAGGTAACAGATGTGTTAATTAATAGTCTTTTTCAATGTATTCATAGATCAAAGTTTCATACTGTATTTCTTAAATAAACACAATTATTACTTGTCAATTAAAATAAATTCAAAACATATTGTTACATATGTACTTTCCTGCTTCTGTGCTCAAATCCCCTTGATTGACTGTTTAATTTTGTTTAGATTCTGTTGTTTGTTCTCACTTTGAGATAGCATTTATGGTTTCAAAATTCCAGTACAAAATTTTGTTGTTTGATCATATATGATCCTACAAGGTAGAAAGGTAGAGGCCATTTTGGAAATTTCCATTCATAATTTTCTAACCTTAGGGTTGGAAATAAAATCATGAAAGATAACCTTAGAAAAAAGTGAAAGCCAACCTCTTTGTGCTGTCAGAATTCAGTGAATTATTCTACCTCAAATTTATCATGAATCAAAATATTTTTTCTGCTTGGTATGAACTGAGTTATATTTTCATTTCTAAACCTTGTATTCTCAATCAGAATAAAGAATTAAGTCTAAGGGTGTCCATACTCATATCAAATAAAATAGACTTCAAGCCAAAGGTAATCAAAAGGGATAAAGAAGGACACTACATACTGCTCAAGGGAACCATTCACCAACAAGACAACAATCATTAATATATATGCCCCAAACAATGGTGCAGCTATGTTCATCAAACAAATTCTTATCAAGTTCAAGAGTCAAATAGACCAAAACACAATAATCATGAGTGATTTAACACACCTCTCTCACCACTGGACAGATCTTGCAAACAAAAGTTGAATAAAGAAACTATAAAACTCAATAACACAATTAATAATGTAGACTTAATTGACATATATAGAATATATCAACCAACATCAAGTGGATACACTTTTTTCTCAGCAGCACATGGATCCTTCTCAAAAATAGACCATATATTATGCCACAGGGCAACTCTTAGCAAATACAAAGGAGTAGAGATACTACCATGCATTTTATCCAATCATAATGGAATGAAATTGGAAATCAATGACAAAATAAGGAAGAAAAATTCCTACATCACTTGGAGAATGAACAATATGCTACTGAATGAACATTGGGTTACAGAAGACATCAAGGAGGAAATTAAAAAATTCTTAGAGGTAAATGAAAACACAGACACAACATATTGAAATCTCTGGGACACTATGAAAGCAGTACTAAGAGGAAAATTCATTGCATGGAGTTCATTCCTTAAAAGAAGAAAAAGTCAACAAATAAATGACCTCACACTACATACATCTCAAAGTCCTAGAAAAAGAAGAACAAATCAGCAGCAAATGCAGTAGAAGGCAAGAAATAATTAAAATTAGAGCTGAAATCAATTGAAATTGAAACAAAAGAAACAATTAAAAAATTGACAAAATTAAAAGTTGGTTCTTTGAAAAAATAAATAAGATTGACAGACCCTTAATCATGCTAATGAAGAGAAGAAGAGAGAGAACCCAAATTACTAGCATATGGGATGAAAAAGGCAATATCACAATAGACACTACAGAAATACAGAAGATAATTAGAAATTATTTTGAAACCTATACTCCAATAAAATAGAAGATAGTGAAAGCATCGATAAATTCCTTAAGTCATATGATCTGCCCAGATTGAGTCAGGAATATATACACAACTTAAACAGACCAATATTAAGTGAGGAAATAGAAGAAGCCATCAAAAGATTACTAACCAAGAGAAGTCCAGGACCGGATGGATAAACAGCTGAGTTTTACAAGACCTTTAAAGAAGAACTAATACCAATACTCTTCAATCTATTTCAGAAAATAGGAAAAGAGGGAGTACTTCCAAATTCATTCTATGAGGTCAACATCACCCTGATACCAAAACCAGACAAAGACATCTCAAAGAAAGAAAACTTCAGACCAATATCTCTAATGAATATAGATGCAAAAATCCTCAATAAAATTCTTGCGCATCTAATACAAAAACATAACAAAAAGATTGTGCACCATGATCAAGTGGGATTCATCCTCGGGATGTAAAGTTGGTTCAACATACCGAAATCAATAAATGTAATTCATCACATCAATAGACTTAAAGATAAGAACCATATGATCATCTTGATAGATGCAGAAAAAGCATTTGACAAAATACAGCACCCTTTTATGTTCAAAATGCTATAAAAACTAGGTATAACAGGAACTTGCCTCAACAATGTAAAAGCTATCTATGCTAAGCCTCAGGCCAGCATCATTCTAAACCTAGAAATACTGAAGGCATTCTCTCTAAAACCTGGAACAAGACAGGGATGCCCTCTCTCACCACTTCTATTCAACTTAGTTCTTGAAACATTGGCCAGACCAATTAGACAAATGAAAGAAACTAAAGGAATAACTATAGGGGGAAAAAAAGAACTTCAACTAGCACTATTTGCTGATAATATGATTATATACCTAGAAGACCCAACAAACTCTACCAAGAAACTTCTAGAACTAGTAAATGAATTCAGCAAAATGGCAGGATATAAAATCAACACCCATAAATCAAAGGCATTCCTGTATATCAGTGACAAATCCTCTGAAAAGGAAATGAGGAAAACTACCCCATTCACAATATCCTCAATAAAATAAAATAAAATAAAATACATGGGAATCAACTTAACAAAAGAGATGAAAGATCTATACAATGAAAACTATAGAACCCTAAAGAGAGAAATAGAAGAAGACCTTAGAAGATGGAAAGGTCTGCCTTGCTCATGGATAGGCAGAATTAATATTATTAAAATGGCTGTATTATCAAAAGCATTATATAGGTTCAGTGCAATTCCAATCAAAATCCCAATGGCATTCCTCATAGAATTCGAAAAAGCAGTCATGAAATTCATCTGGAAAAATAAGAGACCCAGAATAGCTGAAGCAATTCTAAGCAGGAAGAGTGAAACATGTGGTATCGCTATACCAGACCTTAAACTATACTACAGAGCAATAGTAACAAAAACAGGATGGTACTGGCACCAAAACAGGCTGGTAGACCAGTGGTACAGATAGAGGACACAGAAACTAACCCACAAAATTGCAACTACCTTGTATTAGACAAAGGTGCCAAAGCATGCACTGGAGAAAGAATAGCATCTTCAACAAATGGTGCTGGGAAAACTGGAAATCCGTATGCAACAAAATGAAATTGAATTTCTATCTCTCACCATGCACAAAAGTTAACTCAAAATGGAGCAAGGATCTAGGGATTAAACCAGAGACTCTGTGTCTAATAGAAGAAAAAGTAGGCCCTAACCTCCATCATGTGGGGCTAGGCTCCAACTTCTTAATAAGATGCCTATAGCACAAGAATTAAAACCAAGAATCAATAAATAGAATGGATTCAAACTAAAAAGTTTTTTCTCAGAAAAAGAAATAATATGTAAGGTGAATAGGGAGCCTACATCATGGGGACAAATTTTTACCCCTCACACATCAGATAGAGCTCTAATCTTTAGGATATATAAAGAGCTCAACAAGATAAGCACCCAAAACAAATAATTCAATCAATAAATGGGCCAAGGATCTGAAGAGACACTTTTCAGGAGAGGATATACAATTAATCAACAAATATACAAAAAAATGCTCATCATCTCTAGCAATCAGAGAAATGCAAATCAAAAGTACTGTAAGATACCATCTTACTCCAATAATAGTTGCAGCCATTTTGAAGACAAACCACAATAAGTCCTGGAGAGGATGTGGGGAAAAAGGTACACTCATACACTGCTGGTGGGACTGCAAATTGGTGCAGCCAATTTGGAAAGCAGTATGGAAATTCCTTGGAAAGCTGGGAATGGAACCACCATTTGACCCAGCTATTCCTCTTCTCAGACTATACCCAAAAAAACTAATAATAGCATACTTCAGGGATACAGTCACATCAATGTTTATAGCAGCACAATTCACAATAGCTAAACTGTGGAGCCAGCCTAGATGTCCTTCAATGGATGAATGGATAAACAAAATGTGGCATTTATGCACAATGGAGTATTACTCATCACTAAAAAATAATAAGATCATGGCATTTGCAGGGAACTGGATGGCATTAGAGAAGATATGCTAAGTGAAGTTAGCCAATCCCAAAAAGACAAATGCCGAATGTCTTCTCTGATATAAGGTGGGTGACTCAAAATGGGGTAGGGAGGAAGAACATGGGAGGAAGATTACCTCTAGATAGGGAAGAGAAGTGGGAGGCAAAAGGAGGGAGAAGGGGAATTGCATGGATGGT